ACATGAGTCTCAGGTGAGCAAGAAATCGGTGGGTTCGGGTGCTCATCATCTGCTTGCATGGCTTCTGGCTTCTGGCTTCTCAGGGGTTGTACAACAGCATGGTATGGTCATATGTAGGGAGAACACGGAATATGCCTGGAAGACATGCATGCGTGATTGCGGGTCTTTTTTTCGTTATGGGATCTGCGCGGACAACCATGAAGTGTGGCTAGCCATAACGGAAAGCATGTACATGAATGGGGTTTATTACACGACATCCTTGGTATATAGGCGGTGCTACAGCGGAATCAAGTCCGACGCCCAACTGGATCGGCGCTGGTTGCTAGTAGAAGAGGGGAGGGGGTCCATGGTCATTGCGTATATGTTGTGTACAGCTTCTATTCCTCGTTGTGAACGCATGCACAAAGCATGCTAGGTGTTTGCACAACCCGCTCTGTTCATGCGCCCATCCGGCCTTGAGCCGTCGACAGCCGCTGGCTTGTAACACCCTGAGTCTATGATGCGCCGCCGCCGTTTTTCCGGAACGAGACTTTCTCCACTGCGACGTTCTCGTTGCCTTCGCCGTCTTTGCGTAGTTGGTAGACGTAGAGTACGAGGACGTCGCCTTGGACCTAGGTTCCTGTTAGTCTGATATCCTCACCACCTTGCTGCGGCTTGCTGTTGCTTGTGTAACACCTGGGTAAACTCACATCCATCAACACAAAACTCGGCGTGGGATCCTCGTCCTCTGTCCACCACCCCGTGCTCATAGCACCTGTCGCACTCCCTGGGTTGACAAAGAACTTGCCTTCCATCTCATACGCCTCGAATTTGTGTGTGCCGCCCCATAGCAAGACATCGACGTCCATTTGCCGCGCCGCTATCAGCAAACTGTCGCCGTCGCCGGGTGGTATGATGGTGTGGCCATGTGTAAAACCTATGCGCAGACTACCATGTGTGACGACTTTCGATAAAGCGAGATTGGGCGCTTCCACGTCAAAGTCGCCTTTTACAATCTGTAGATCAGGTGCAATGGCGCGCAGGAACTCGTACGTTTCGCGGTCGGTTATGTTTCCTAGACACAGAATCTGACCGATCTTTCCGGGTGCGAGGAGCTTTTTGAACTATAGAGTCGTGTAAGCGCATGCGCGTGTGGGTCTACGAGAGACAGGGTGCGGGTGTAGTGGGTGGTGACGGATGGTGAGCGTGGTAGAGGTGGGGTGAAGCGTACCTTGGCCGGTATGTCCTATGTAGCCTGTAAGTTTGTGAGGTCTAGCATCGTGAAGATTCGCTGTGGTGACATACTGAAGCTCGGTCTGGTATGAAGAGGTCGCCTAGGACCAGCACCAGTCGCGAAGCCATTGTAGTGGCGCAGTTGTGTCTTGGTGCGCGCAAACTACGCTGAAGGGTAGCTCAGAGATATGTGGAACAAGATCAATTGGCTTCGCGAGTAAGACGGAAATGTAGCGGAAGCTTGCGGGGATGTTGCGCGCAGCTGGAGGTGGAAGTTGGGGAGCTATGCTGTCACTGGGCGGGCCCAAGTGGCAGAACCCCGAGCTTGGCAGGGACGCCTGGACTGGAGATCGCGACGCTTCTCTGCTGTGACGACCCCAACAAATACTTTACCACTTTTCAGAATCATTTCGCACCATAGAAACATCCAGTCTACGATGAACTGAACTACCGAGGTGGTGAATGCTTGAAATGCTAGCTAAGCGATCGTGTTGACTCCAAGGCCTCCGAAGTACCTGAATTTGGCTGCGTCACTACCTGGGTAGTATTGTCAAAAGGATCCAAAGATTTAACAGACGTTGCACCGCCTATGTATGTGTAGGTATGTAAATCACTCTATAATACTATTCTGCGCTCTTAACATGACATTCTCCTTGAAAGTAATCATGGTCGCTGTGTCTGCCGAATTAATACTGCTAAAGTCGCTGCCTGTCAAGACGGTCTGATGTCTCAATCGGCTTCTATAATAGCTGGAATTGCGAGACTATAACAACATCAAGTACTAAACTCCCTGGGCGATACTTGAACTCTTTTCAACAGAGACTTCTACACTAGATGTAAGGAAGAACTAACATGGCTGACCTAAATACAAGGTGGATCTGGGTTCTATAGACATGGTGATAGCAGCCTCGCCGGGCATAATCGGTGGCCGTCTACGTAGGCTGTTTTGCACTGCCTCAACTGGGAGTACATAAAGTCGTTTTCACCAATGACGAGGAACCATCCGACTCTGAGCCTATACGCAATCTGGAAATGCAGGCTGCTTGGCTCAGCCTCCTCGCAGTGGGTTTTTGTACATAGGCCGCCGTGACCAATGACAAGGAACCGATCGGTCCTGAGCCTATACTCGATTGGGGCATACATGCTTGGCTTGCGGAAGCAGTCAGGAAGCATACACAAAAATTCCAAAGCTGGCCCTTATGGTCTTCACACTGATCCTCTCTTCTTAACATCATTAGTGATCTCTGGTGTCTCACCAAAACAGTTTTGGGTTCAATAAGTTAGAACACACTGCCTATTTTAATACCTTTTGTCCAGGCCCATTTGTTCTCATCGTTTACAGCCGAGTTAGTCAATCACATACCCGCTGCCACACCCACAGATCGAAAGGGAATGTCAGCCTTCAATAATGGCGCGGCCGATGCTGCGCTCGAGATCTTGTTTGGTGTCGCCGCCATCTTTAGTGTCGTTGTTGCGTTGTTTGGTCTACATTATCGAGACTCTCTCGGATTTGTCCTGTATCGACGTTTCATGAATCGATCTATTGAGCGTATGTGGCCTCGATTCGCGAGTTTGGCGCATGTTTTACGCAGTTACTAATGAAATTATCAGCATACGAACTCGAGGAAGGGCTCCAAGACCCAAACAGCACTGCTTCAGTACAAGCTTTCGCTTTGACTCACATCCCTACCTCGACTTCACCAGGCTTACGTCCAGAATCATCAGTCCCAACGAACTCGATTACCAACGATAGCCTTCGCAATACCAACACCGAAACAAGTCCAGTATAATACACGGTTGGTTATATGTATGTCTCGAGCCCTGTGTGAAGTGGAAACAAGGGCGACGAAGGATAATATTCGCAGGAATTGATGTAGCACTTCAGACGCATCGCCGCATCAACAGTCTCGACGTTGTACACCGTAGATAGTATTGGTGTATGGAAATCTGTATGATATCATCAATATACAAGTGTACCTTTTGAATTACCTGGGCTTGTCCTCTGCAAGACAGACATCTTCCCATTGCACCATGGACAATGTAGTCTCAAATAGCAATAGAACTCTTCTCCTCTTCCACATTGCCATACCAACCAAGAAGGTGTGCGACATACTCTCCAGCAAGACCCAGACTGATCGCACCTCCAGTAAACCATGCACCATTCACGAACCACCACCAACAGTTCTTGACTTCTTTTAACTTCACTCGTCGGATCATCGTCCCTAGAGTGACCGCTGCTCCCCCGACTGAGCCGACGAAGTAGACCGGTCCTAAGCCTGCTGCGACTCCAGTAGCGGATAACAGGCCGAGCTGAACAACGGCCAGACCCGACAATACCATCTTGGTCTCCTTCTCATGCTTGAGTGCAATGCTCTTGATACCAGCCTTGACATCATCTTTGATATCCATGTGCGCGTATATCATGTCGTAAAGAACGGTCCACGCAACGTTACTAGCGTAAAGACAAGCTGCCGCTGTGAGCGCTGCTTGATTCGCCAACAGGTCGACACCCAGCGCAGGGAAGCCCATCATCGCACCCCAAGAGAATGTAAGACCAAGGACAAATTGAGGATAGTATGTTACCCGTTTCGCCAAAGGATAGAGCGTAACGAGAACAAGTGACGGCGTCGCGTACCAGAAACATTCGAATGGGAGCGAGAGCAGAACGGCTAAACCGGTCGTGAGCTGTCCCCCAAGGAAGACAATAGCCTGTTGGGGTGTGATTGCTCGTCTTGCTATGGGACGTAATCGTGTGCGTTCGACGTGTGGATCGAGGTTGCGGTCCCAAAGGTCGTTGATCGTGCATCCGGCGCCTCTCATTACGAGAGCTCCTGTGAAGAAGAGGGCTGTTGTGCTGATGACTGCGGATGGTGCGGCGAGAGGTGCGGCCATGGTTGCAGCGAGAAGTGTGCTGAACATGCAAGGAAAGAAGAGGTAGTATGTACCGGCTGGTTTGTCCAATCTCATCAGCTCGCCATAAGGAACCGCTTTCTGAGGCAGATATGAGAGGAAGCCGGTGGTTGGTGGCTTGTAATCGGGAAGTGGTTTCGAGGGTCCATCTTGTAATGCTGTCGCTGCCGCTATCCCTGACTGCAAGTTTGTCGAGTTTCGTCGTATTGACTTGATGAGCTGGGTGGTTTGCGGACGATAGCTCGCAAGTGACAGAGGTGTTGATAGTCGTCCTCGTCTGCAAGCGGATTGTAATGTGGAGGAACTTCGAGTGTATTGCCGACACACCGGCGCAGCCCGCGCTGCATAAAGTCGTAGGAGAGCCATACTCGGCTTTTAGATGTTTAGACGGTCAGAAGTGTTTGCAATTTCACATGTAAAGGCATGCGCGCTACTCCTTCTGTTTGTTGGACTGGTATGCAGGGTCTCGATTTCAACGTGCTATGCTGAACATGTCGAAGACGATGTGAGTGGCTAGAACACCAATTGGGAAAGGCACTTCGGTCACTGCCGTCCAGCGCCGAATCGGGATGGTGAGTGAGTGGGGAACGTGAAAGCTGAACCGTGGGTTCGCGCTAACACTCGACGGCACGTGACTGGTCAGAACGCCGTTTCCTCGGTCGCGTCCACATCCCGAAAGCTCACCACGCTGCCGCCAAATCAACTACAACTCACATTTTTCGCAGCACTCGCTCCGCCAGCGACCACGACCACGCGCCTACACTTACCCGCTGCGCCCCCGTCTATTCGCAACTGCGACAACGCCGCGGAGGTGCTTCACGCTCCTGTAACCCCACACCGAGAACGCGACTTCTGAATGTTAGTCGTGGGTGACGACGATGCCGGCCGCGCGCCCCCGGGCCTCATTTGAGCCCATACCGCCCGATTTCGATGTGCGCACCTTTGTGGAGACCGCGGACAATTTCCAATATGTCGACCGCATTTCCTACGAGATGATCGCCAACAATGGCATCGAGGCCTTTGAGAAGCTGGTGATGCTGCACGTCATAATAGGCGGCAAGCCTCTGGTAATCGACGGGTTCGAGGAGGTTCTGGATCCTTGGACCTTTACACCTTCGTGGCTGCGCGATAACCATGGCGATAAAGGTAAGCGCAATTTAGGGCAATACTCGGCGCGCATGGCTAATAGCGAGACAGTCGAGAATGCGCGCAATCTCTCGACCAAGGAGAACATTCCTCTGACCATGAAGCACTATCTCAAGCACATGACGAAGCTGACCGAGCAATTCTTCGACGGCCCCGACGACGCATACCGCGATAAGGCGAGGCAGCGCATCTACCTCAAGGATATCGACTGTCCTCAAGTGTGGCATGATAAACTGAAGGAGCACATTCCCTCGGTTCTGTTCTACCTCAACGAGAGCACCGGTGAGCCTGGCGGTCCCGGCGCATTGGACGAGCCCGGTGGTCGCAAAGGACGCGGTATTGGACGCGCTGGAGATCTCATGAGCAGCCTGCCACCTGAGATGCGCGCGGAGAACCTCATGTGTTATATTGGTCACGAAGGCACCTACACCCCATCACATCGAGAGATGTGCGCCTCACTCGGTCAAAACATCATGGTCAATGCATCAGGCAACATCAGCGAAGACGGCAAGCAGGAGCGTCCTGGATCGTCCATCTGGTTCATGACAGAGAGCAAGGACCGTCATGTTGTCTCGGAATACTGGCTTTCGGTACTAGGCCACGACATAGAAGTGGAGAACCATTTCGCGCAGCTCATCGCTTGGAAAAAGGCCCCATTCCAGACTTATGTTGTAGAGCAGCGAGCGGGCGACTTTATACTCATCCCACCACTGGCTCCTCACCAAGTCTGGAATCGCGGCACGCGAACCATGAAGATTGCTTGGAACCGGACAACTGTCGAAACACTGGAACTCGCACTGAACGAGGCATTGCCCAACTCCCGAGTCGTCTGCAGAGATGAGCAATACAAAAACAAGGCCATTGTCTATTACACCCTTCAGAAATACTCCAGCCTCATCAAGTCCGCGCGCGCTCAAGTCGAAGCGGGTGGTGAACAGGCAGTTGCAATTCAAACGTCAGTCAAAATAAAGCAAGTGCAGAAGGATTTCAAGAAGCTTTTCGATCTGTATAAGGCCATTCTGCTGTCAGAGGCGTTTGCACCGGACTCACGAGAACACCCAGAGTTTCTTCCCTACGACAGCAACGTAACTTGTGCCTATTGTAGATGCAACATCTTCAATCGCTTCCTTAGCTGCAAGACTTGCAAGAACTTGTTCAGTTCGGAGATCGAAGAACCATACGACGTTTGCATGGACTGCTATTGCATGGGACGAAGCTGTGGCTGTCAATCAGGATACACATGGGTCGAACAGTGGAAGTGGAAGGATCTCCTCCACAAGTACGAAGAGTGGCGCGCTCAGATTATCGACATCGATGGCTTCGTACATGAGAAGACTCCGCTTCCACTGCAAGAAGAGCGACGATATCTTGGCAAGAAGACATTGGCCACAGTCTGTCAAGAGCAACTTCGAGTCCGACCCTTCGTCGATATTAAGAACCCGCAACCTGAGAGCGTGTCCGACGATGAGGAGCCTGTCGTTGACGAATACGGCAACGTCAAGAAGGTTGCGAACAAGAAGTCGAAGCAGTACCTTTCGAAGCACAAGTCGTGCCATTTTTGTCTTCACCGCCATCCGAAATGGAAGATGGCATTCTGCACGAGCTGTGACCTGTCCTATTGCTACGGTACCCTGTTTCGAGCACACGACATGATGCCGGTAAACGTCATGGAGGCTTACAACTGGAAGTGCCCACACTGCAGACGAGTTTGCAACACTGGCGCCTGTCGACGTGACCCCCGACAACATCCATACGAGCCCAAAGGAACTTTGCTCGGCCACGACACCAAGAAAGTGGCTGATATACGCTCAGTAGAGTGTCTTGTCGACTTCAGTGTGTCTAACCTGAACTGGTTGCGGGAAGAGGAGGGTATGGGCCAGAGTGCAATGCAACGCAGAATGCTTCAAGCGGAGATGGACAAAATGGCGGATCCTTCCCTTGATGCGCGATTCATTGAAGATGATCACGGCTACACCCGATACGGTATTACCTACTCTCCAGTTGAGGACGCCAACGGCGTCGTTCACGACAATGGTGATGGAGGGGCAAATGGTGCTCCATACTACCATGATCCCGGCATGGATGGGGAGATTCCGCGTCTGGGTCAGAAGCGTGGTCGCGAAGAAGACGAGGATGTACAGGGCGGCCGGCGGAAGAAGGCCAAGGCAAAGAAACAGAAGAAGAAGAAGGACGACGAAGCACAACCCCTGCAACCGAAGAATGCATCTGGCAAGGAATATCAAAAGGAGGTACAGAGGAAGCTGCTCGAGGATGCCAAACGCGAGGACAGGTTCATCATGGTTGCCGCAAAGATGAAGGGTAAATCCAAGGTGGTAAAGTTATCTCTGGCCACTGGCCATCTTGACCGAATCCGGCAAAGACCCGTCCCCGAGCGCGCCCCAGTGCTGCGACAAGGCACTCCTGAGGAAATCGAAGCGTCTGGCGACATGCGGTCCATTCTACAGTCCGATGTTGTGCCGAAGCCAAACACTCTCAAGAGCGTGGCTGAGAAAGAGAAGGACGCGAAGACATATCGGATCCGAGTAGAAGAGGATGAGGCATACTCAACGCGCAAGCGCAATCCGGAAATTAGCGGCGCTGCGAAACCAGGCAGGCCTCGTGGCTCCAAACGATTTGAAGAGATCACGCTCGATTCCGATGAGGAGTTTGGTGGCGAAGAAGACGAGCCCGGATATACTGGTCGCCCGCGTGGGCGTGCATCGAACTGGTTGGCGCGAAGGAATGAAGGTGAAGAAGACCTACCCACCGAGCTGCCGTCCGACTTTAGGGATGGAGCTGTAAGGCCCAACCGGGAGAAAGACCGAGAGCGAAGCCGCGTGTATAATGAGCGCCGAAAATCCATGCCAGCAAAACCAAAAGCTGGAATCAGACCTACAGGACCACCATCCGAAGATCCGGAACCCAACAACGCTGGTGATGTCTCCGGTCATGCCTCTGACCAGGATGGTCTTCACGAAGAGGATGACCAGTCTAGTGAAGCTTTCATTCTCGCACAACAAGCCGCTGCCGCTGCCCTGGAAGCCCAACGTCGGGAGGAGGAGGCAAAAGCTCGTGCAGAAGCTGAAGCTAGAGAAGCCGAGGAGAATCTGCGAGCGAAGATGGCGCTGTTCCCCGATTCGGACGATGACCAGCTCATGGACACATTCCTTGGTGATCTGCCCGCTGATGAGGAGCCATTCGAAGATGACACACGATCTGAGGACAAAAAGCCAGAGCCTGTCCGCACAGGGCCACCGCCAACTACAAACTCCATCTTGAGTGGGTTGAACGGGAAGAAGATCAAGATTGTTGCGGCATCCAAGCGGAACGGTAACGGGCCAAGCAAGGTCACTACCACGACGACTGTTACTGCACCAGCGTCCAAGTTTTCCTCCGTCAATAGAAAGCCCCAGGCTATCAACGTGTCGGATTCGGAGAGTGATGATGAGATTCCTGCGAGCGCACCAGCTCCGAAGAAACCTGTTGGCAGACCACCAGGTCGCCCTGCTATGGTACCGACCCGCGGTTCGAGTTCTGGGAAGCGTGGTCGTGGACGTCCAAGGAAGACTACGTGAAATGTCGATTAGCCAGGCGTTTGGAGCTTGCATTTACATAGGGCTGTTTGTTTGTTTGCTCATATACCATTGTTTCTTAGCAAGGCGTGGTGGATATTCCTGTGGCATCTCCTCGGAAATTCTGAGGCGGGCGTCCTGGTGCATTATTGTCCACGGTCATAGATGAAGCGTCGAATTCGATATTTGAGGTTGCAACATGTATAGTAGCTGCAATGCATAATACGAAACGGTAGAATCTTTCAGAGCGAGTGCATAGATCACACTGGTCACACAAAAGACTCGTCTTCTGCGGACAGGGTTGGAAGGCGACTCAGCCAATTCATGTGCACGTGATCTCGCACCGGGCTTACAGACGCGTCTTCCCACTTTAACGCCAATCCCACCTTGCCTCGCGATCGCAACACACCAACAACACCCACAATGCCGCCACTCCACATCAAAACTATAACTCTGGGTGCGTTCAAGGATGTCTTGTCGCGTTACCCTGCCATGGTCCCCGAGAAGCTACGCGACTTGGACGCGCAACGTTATGACATCATTCGCAAAGCCGTAGCTGCACAAGACGAAAGCGAGAAACACTTGACGAAAGATCAAGTCGTGACACTCGTGGAATGGAAGTTGTATGTGGTAACCCTTGAATCAAGATCACACATGCAGTTTTTGATCTAATGGCGGAATAGGAAGCACGGCACGTTTCGTCCAGCTTTGCTAGGCCTGGTCCAAAGCAACACGCCAGAGGCAGTTGAGAAAACGACCAAAAGGGCCTACGCTGCGCTTTGGAAGAGCAAATCATCCCAACCCGATGCTATCCCCGCGCTCAAGATCCTTGTGGGGCTGAAGGGCGTGGGCCCAGCAACCGCATCCTTGCTTCTCTCCGTTCTCCGACCTGCAGAGATACCATTCTTCTCTGATGAACTATTTCGATGGTCTGTCTGGGATGATGAAACAGGCAGCGCAAAAGATGGAACGGGCTGGCAGAGGAAGATTAAGTACAATGTCAAGGAGTATGAGATGATGCTCGATCGCGTGCACGAGTTAAGGATGAGATTGCGAAGAGGTTTCGGGCAGAGAGACCCTTTGGCGAGAGCGATTGACGTTGAGAGAGTAGCTTGGGTACTCGGAAAAGAGGGTGTGGATGTTAGTGTGCAGGAAGATCAGACAGAGGAGCGTGAGGGAAAAGACGCGGATGTACAAGCTGACACGAAGGCGGAGGAGGATGAGAAGGAGAAAGACGAAACACAACAAGAAGAGATCCCAGCAGTAACGAAAGAGGGCAGCGGCGACGAAGCAACGATTGCAAAGCCTGTAGCGAAGAAAGGCACGAAACGTAAAGCGTCGGAGGCCAAACCACCTGTCGAAGGTACCCGCAAGAGTACGCGGACGAAGAAGTAGGCCAACATCAGCATATCTCGACCGCTTCCCAATCGAGCGTAATCACAGATGGAGGAAGCAGGTATCAAGATCAACTAGTCTCCAGCATTCAACACAAATCACGCATCTCGACGCTCGCCAGTCACTATATCCGGGTCGCAATAATCCCGTTATCGTTATTCCCTCTTACCAATTCATCACACCGATGCCGCTTATCATCGGTATTCATCACTCTTCCCTGTCTAACCGTCACTAAGACATGAATATGCATACCTGACCCTACCTATCATTTCCATCGCAGTATCTCACACCGGTCAACGCAATCTTCACTCAATCTTCTAGCTCGTTCCCTCGCCTCCAAAGCACGTTCCTGTTCACCGTAACCGAGACAACCCTTCTGATCGGTGTGACGCCCAAATGTCATGCATGTCGGATCAGCAAAAACGCGGACATGATGGAAAATCACAAGCGACCTGGTGTTTCGTATCTACGGAAGTTTTTCCCGTCGAATGAAGCCCTGAAATGGATTTCTTGGGGTGAGGTAAGATCTGACGAGGTGCCCTTGCTTACTCTACACCCAGCAACACCTCGTATACCCGGAGATGAATGTCGCGGGGTCTGGGGTGTGGTGTTACGTGAGATGCAAAATGTGTGATGAGAAAGTGTCATGGCCAGTCTATGTCATGCATGAGTAGGATGACTGCCACGCGAGAAATTGCGGGGAAGCAAAGGGTCTTGTACACAATGGGCAATGATTTTCAGTGGAAGTAAGGAATGTGATGGGATGTGATGAGATTAGGCGGGCGACATAAGGTCGTCTCTTAGTTAGAAGTCGGAGTTCGGAGCGTGCCGAACGGGGTATGTCACTGGTCGACTTGATGGAGCAAGTTTGCCGCGGAGGTCTAATGTCGGTGACTGAGATGAAACGGCTCTTGGGTTGCGGCAAAGCGCGCTTGTGGGGAAATGGTGGTGGTGATGATGACTTGGATGGTGGTTTATCGCTGATAGTTGCAACCTGGACTTCGCTCATGGCGCGGCTATGGAAAATCGCTGTCGCCCCCAGGTAATTTCAACGGACGGAGTATGCATCACGGACCATTGGCACACATGGCATGGTCAGACAAGGACTCTTGAAGCAGTACTGGTAGTTTTCAGCACATATGCATGTAGAATCAGCTAACACCTCATATCCGTATAGACCTGTACGCATCACTCCATGCGGAAGATGACTCTCCTTCCGTGCTCCTGTTTCCCGATCCGTAATCCACAGTACATCCGCATTCGCACACTCCGCACCTCTTTCTAACCCCCCATCCAATATCCCCCAAATTACACATTCCTGCGCCAGTCTCCAGATCCAGAAGCACAACCGCCCCCACAACCCCATCACCGCGTTCGCGCCCCGTAATCCAACGCATAGCCTCGGATCCGGCAACCGAAGCGAACGGGAAACAAGGGAGACAACTCCGAACCCAGCGTGCTGGTATAGGTAGAAAGAAGGAGATTGACCACTATAGTGCTTCAGCCTCGCTAGATCGGGCTGGGATGTGAATCCTGCGCTGGCTCGGTTGTGATGAACTGCACCTTCGAGGTTGCTGGCTCAGCATAAGTTTTTCTGTCAATGCGCTGTACGCTGTATACGCTGTGTGTATGTAGACGACAAAGAACGCTACTTGTGACCAACCTGCCAGTACCTGGCTTGGGATTGTGTGCTAAGCCCCGCGAAACATCTTTCAGCGCGCAACTTTTAGCGATGGTGCACATCACCTCACCTCGCTTGCAGCCTCCCTCCACGTCAAACACCAACGAGCTAGCCACGATCCTGCACGTCAATATAGTCTTTGCTCAACTAAGCCCATCCTCCCCCAACCTCCGCGTTAGCCACAAACGAAAGCGATTTCCAGCTTACTCTACTTTCCCATGTTTCCGTCCTCATGCAATCGCATTGCTGTCTGCCAAACATATGCATGTGCGCCCTTTAAGTCTTTTGCTCGAACCTGCCTTCGCTAGCCTCAATCGCCCATCGGTGAGACGTCTGCGGGTCGCTCCTTCCAGCAGACTTGCTATCTAACTTGCGATATGGATGACTTGCATACAGTTATCCGTTGTCAGAAGGAAAAAAAAGGAAATAACCACTTGGACGTTTATGCAGGTAAGAGAAGGAGGATCCCCCGATCTGTACACCTGCATGCATGCAGGTTCGCGATCGGCGATCTGTGGTCAACATGTTAATGTCGGTAATGTTGGTGGGGGGAAATTGGCATGAGTTCAGCGTATTTTCAGGGTTCGACAACGTTGGGGGAACCTCCGTCCGGGTAAGGCGGCTGTTGAAAAAAATAAGAAGACGGCGGCGGTGGACATATTATTACTATGTATATACCGCTCGGGAGTCGGTACAATACCGATCGGTTGGGAATCTTTGTTGGGAGATTGGCTACATGCAGGTGTGTCGCAACAGGAGCGATGTCGGAAATTGACTTTTCCTTTTACTATGGGGTGCCGAGTTGCTAGGGGAGGGAACCGCAGAGACGGTTGCGGTTGTGGTTTGTCAAGGGTGGAGATGCTCGATGCATGTCCAACCGAGGTGTGTGGAGAATAGCATCATCACTGAATACGGTGAAGATCCTCATGTCGGTCAAGTTCAACAAGATCAGGCATTATGGCCTGTTCATGCATTATACTACACGGCTTGACAAACAGCCAATATGCTATCAAAGACACTTCAAAGAAGCGAAGAGTAGTAAACTAGCTAAGGACACAGTAATCCATCCCCTTCAGTTTGCCATGTGCGGAACAGCTTTCCAGGAAAGCCAAAGCCCCCTTGTTAAGCGCATCGCTTACCGAGGTTATGTTCTCATCGATCATCAACAATTCATCCTTCATTCTCAACCAAACGGAGGCCCAGGCCACACAAGAGAAAAAGTGGAAATAGATACAGAATGGTAATAGTAAATGCTGAGAAGAGAAAAGAGACAACGCCGTCTTTTGATAACGCTCGCCGATGCATGCAGCCTAGATCCAAGCTAAGTGAAAACGCCCTGCGCCTGCCCTTGGTGGTAGTGGTAAAGTCATGTTGTTGCTCTGTAATTCGTATATGTACACACGCGTGAAACGGGAATCCAATGTATGTGTGTTCGTACAGCGGGTAGATCTTGGGTATCGTGTAGTTGATGACGGAGATGACAGTAAAGTTGTCAGTGTACGGTATGTGGGTGTTGTTATTGCGATTCAGCTGTGCGATTGTCCGCTGGCTCTAGCTCGGGTGGAGGAATCTTCTTGACTGTTCCGTTGCTTCCACTGCGAGTGGATCGCCGGACGTGAATGCTGGCACGAGCAAGTTCGCCATTGGAAACGGAGTTGCTTCGTTGCGATGATGACGCGACAGACCTCTTCTTGCTGCTGAAGTTCAGGACCATTCCGTCGTCGCTCTCTGAATCGTCTTCGCTTTCAACAGCGTGGTCGCCATCGTAGCCAGCAGCGTCATCGATAGAGGCCTCGAGGTGATTGGCTGACGCTGCGGAGATCCAGGAGTGTTCATCAAAAGAACCGCAACCGACTTGAGTTGGGGAGCCGGCCGACGCGACCGAGGGAATTGATGGGTTCGACTCGGATTGTGACATGGCAGAGAA